TTCTTAATAATTTCTCCGACATTGTTAAATTAATTAAATTATATTTTATGTAATCATTTAATAATATTACTGATAAAAACAGTTTATTAAACACAGACCTGAAATTGTTAGGAAAAAGAATAACAGGTATAAATAATTATAACAAACTTGTTGTTGTAAAAGTTTTAATTTACATGTTTAATAATCTTTTTTATCGTTTCGTACCTCAAAAGGAAAAGGGAAGCCTTGTAGGATCACTCCATTGTTCGTCTGTTCGTCTGTCAAGACCATTTTTCTCAGGGACGAGTGGAAATAACAAATTAAAATTAATGTCAAATAGTTAGGTCTGCAATCCCTTGCCCAATCCTTTAATTCTTATATTCTATTGGGGACTGATCATTTTGGAGGAAAAGCTGAAACATACTGGGAAAATGCGAGAAAAATCTTTGAGACCCGATTCCTATGACAGACGAACTATTTACATACCTAGAAGTTTGTACAGAACCCTCGATACGCGAATCCGACTTTTAATTAAACTTGATTACATGAATATTGAGACATTTCTGAATTAGTTAAAGCTTTAAGAAGTGGTTTAAAGGGAAGCTCAGTTTTGTTGGCATGTTAGCTCCTCGTACAGCCCGAGTGTAAAGATTAAAGGATTTGTGTAGGTGGATTTAATTCGTGTAAGATGGGCGCAAAGCGTCTTGCCGCCGCTCTAATAAACTTTGGCTAGGTTGGGTTGGATTGTGTTGAATAGGATCGAGGTGACGTTTTCGAAAAGCTCGATCGTCATCGTCGGAGAGTTTAAAAGACTTGTAGTAGACCTGCTGTAATGTCTGTCTTTCTGTAACGCTACCGTTTTATCACAATTGCAACACGACGGAAACTGTCGCCATTTGTGTCCTAACCCGACCATAAACAAGTCGTTCCGTGTGGTTTATCTCCTGGAAAATGTCCACCGCACATGTATATGTACGGCTTTGTTTACGTTTGACCAAAATAAACGTGAACTACAACGTACTAAATAACTATACATAGAGTTACACACCCCGTTCGGAAGGGCAGACATTTAACTACTCACCTTTGATAAAATGTTATATAGAAAACATATTTATCGTTTACTGAATAAATAATAAAAAACAAGAAATTTCACTAAATTTTTAGCTGTCTTATTATTAATCAGATTTATAATGTTTTTCTAATTTCCAGGTTTTCAGAAAGTGATAAA